AAGTCTGAATTTTAATGGTCTCGGCCCCAGGAATTTTCCATACCACAAAAACCTCTCCACTTTTTATTTTGAAATTCTAAAAAATATTTAGAGGTCGTTCAATGCCCCCCAAAATGCAATGGGGCGACCCATAAAAAATCGTTAGTATTAAGAAATGGTTAAATAAATAATTGGGTACTATTCTCTGAAGTCTTCTGAGGAGAAGCAGCGATTTCCAATAGAAAAATTTATATTTTTCCATATAGAACAATCTTAGGGATTTTTTGGATCACCCTAGTACACATACTTACATATAACCAAAAAGTGCACATTTAGATGTCCATAAATTGCTGACGAAATCATTTAATTGTTTCGCAATTACAAAAACCATTTTTCTTTGCCAAAAGTAGTAAAACCAAGCTGTTAAAATGAAATATTAACTAAGCGGCGCGCGGTGGTGATGACAATGACGACTACTGGTTACGGGAGGAAATCGGGTATCATTTGACTGGCAGCCAACAACCATTGCAAGCGCGTTGACCTCAGCGGCTAGAGGCGTAGAAGACGATCAGAGTAAATAACGCGTGGAGTTGTAAATGAAGTAACAACCAAATGGTAAACAACAACAAAAATAAAACGATATGTGCAAAAACTAGGTACTGAATCGGTGGAAAAAGAAGCGCAGTAGCGCTGATTAGACAGTTTAAGCGCTTGCTTAGCAATTAACTATTAACAGTAATGGCGCGAACCCAACAACGGCAACGAATTTCCATACTAGTCCATTTTTTAAACGATTTATTCATCTTAATGCCTTTTTGGAACTTGTTTCCGACGAGTAATAGCTTTATCTCTCTTTTCACAATAGTTTTACTACAAAGTTTTATTTATCTATTTATTTTTTCTTTTTAACATAATTTTTGTTTCGATTGCAAAACTTTTGCATGTTCGTTATTTTCGTATGCGTTTTTTAGCTGTGTCGGTCAGTTGCGCATGCGCTTCGCGCGAAGATGTGTTTTAATTGACCCACAATCGCTTTTGCAAACAGCAACAGGCGTAATAAAATTGTAATTATTGCACATGAAAAAGCAAAACCGAGCTACGCAGTCAGTTTGTTAAGTCAATTACTTTTTTAATAAGTTTTTTTTTTTTCGGAAACAAAAACGGTTTTGTTTTTCAACAAAGTCTCTTAGCTCGATATATTTAATCAAGCTTCTTTTCTAATATTTTCCACCTCTTCCAAATAAGAGGTTTTCTCACGTCCCTCAAACCGTTTACCTTTTTTATCGAACCTGCCGAATTTTGAATTGTGTCACATTTGAAGATCGTGTGCGATATGTAGATTCCACTTGATCGTGTGGTGTCGAAGCAAATTGCAGGAATTAGGTTACGGATTCCTCCCTCATCTAAGTCGATTTATCCGTTTACGACTATTTCCTGTTTTCTAACCTAAATAGTTTGGGACCGTGAGAAAACCTCTTATTTGGAAAGGGTAGAAAATATTAGAAAGGATGCTTGATTAAATATATATTACAAACACCATATAAATCCACATTTCAAACTTCGTGTAATAATTATAAAAAATCTGCAGAGTTCATCTGACTTTTCAACTTTTCATTCAGATTTACAATAATTTGTTCTAGCTATATTGCTCATTTTTTTCCATACAAAAAAGGTGGAATATATCGCACGTTTAATAATATAACGAAGTACATATTTCAAAATTTCAATTTTTGTGGGAAAAGGCAAAAAAGTTTTATCCATTCATAGAGTTGGTTCACAAAAAGACAGATGGAAAGACACATATCTTCGCCATATTTGGGAAGTTTGGTTATCTGTTTGACTGAACATATTCTACTTATCAAGCTTATTAATTGCATAATGAAATCTCCAAATACGTAAATTTTGCGTTACATCTCTATATTATTATTAAACCAGTGATACACACAAAATGGAAAAAATGCGTAATACAGTCAGAAAAAAAGATTAAAAATCTACCGAATTTTTCGGCAGCTTAAAACTTGCTTATGAAAATCTGAGTTGTTGAATAAATAAAAGAAAAATATAAAGCCAAAATTTATCAAAATGTTGCTGGCTTAATTAGTTGATCGCAAGTGTAACTCTACCATTTAAGGGAATTACGACCTGAAATTTTGTTACTTATTTGTTTATCATAAGTCTTCAATGAAAATGGTCAAGACGAAAAAGGTAAAGAGTAAATTTTCTCACATTCATGAAAGTTATGAAGCCTTCGACAAAACTGAAGCCAGCACTTTCCTTGCGTGTTTTGTTTTTATTTTCTTCTTTTCTTCTCTCCACTGTCGCGTTGCATCATTAGCTGCGTTTTCACGCCTCGATTACGCAAAGCCATTGCCAATACTACTTACCATTGCAATAAAATTACAAGCAAAGCGCAGAAATTACTTTCTACCCAAACACAGCTTTGCAACATATCCTATCAAGTCATTGCATTGCATACATTGGCATATTTCATGTTAATAAAATTTGTATTTCAATTCGTGGAACACTTTTTCATAGATACATAAATAAGTATGTAAATTTATTTAAATGTGAGCATCGTTTTCTTTTTGTGTCTTTCGCTTTTCCCACAAGCGATGCAAAAATGTAAAAATTAATAAATTTGAATATCAGCTATAAAATATGTACATACGTTTCATTTGAAGGAAGAAATATAACGAATGAAAATTTATTATAAACTTTTTGTTTTGCTTAATTAAAACATAAGTATTTAATGGTTTATAAGAGTACCTAAATAAAAATTTTTTCGAACGTACTGACCACATTTTTTGCCCACATACTAACCTAACCATCCTCTTACATCTGCGCTTTAAAACCAAAGTTCTACCTAGTTCTATGAACGCTGAAATTTATATTCTACTGAAAATGTTTGCATTCCTTATTATTATTTATGTGATTCCAAGTACTTACTTACATTTATATTCTATTTAATTGCATAGCTGGAAAAGAATCGGCTTTCACTTAATATATGTATTTATATGGCTGAAACAAACATATCTATGTATGTACTTATATAGCTGGATATAATATGTAAGTACGTATACAGTCAGCGTCAAAAATATGCATACCCTGACGTTTTTAAGATTTTTTTTTTAATTACATCTTGCATATTAAATTTTTCTCCTGTTTTTGTAAATATAGAGTTCATTCAACAGCAAAAACTACAAGAATAAATATTTTTTTATTTAATACAGAATTCTGGGGAAAATGCAATAAATACCAAGAATTTTTCATTGAACTTTTCAAGTTTTCAATTCGCTTTCTTAGTGTACGCGGTTTTGTGCCCCATTAAATTTTTGTATAATAAAGTGCAAATTTCAAGTGTAAGTTTTACCGTAGATTTTTAAGAATTTTTTTACTGAATGTGAGGACTACCTATGAAAGATTAAATAAAAGATTGTGTTCATGCGTTACATATATAGAAGAAAATAGGCAACATTCTCTGCAAAAACAAATTCTCAAAAATCATCGCTAATATTTACCAACTTGGAATTTGCTTTTTGTTGTACTAGCATTTAGTGGGCTACAAAAGGGCGTACCCAAGAGTTTTCGAAATGCACATTTCTTGGTATTTCTTGCATATTCCCGGCTTCTTTATGAAATAAATAAAAATAACTGATTATTCTGGTTTTTGCTATCGAATGAGCTATATTTTTATAAAACAAAAATAAGAAAAATCTGGTATGGAAAATGAGAGTCGTCAAAACGTCAAGGTATACATATTTTTGACGCTAACTGTATATGTGTGTTTGTCTGTCCCATCGTGTTCTTGCACCATGTTTTGCAATTGTTTTCTGATATGCATACAAATGAAGTTGATGTAACATTATGGATTTTTATCAGACATTCGGGTTAGCTAGTCAGTCTTAGTATATACATACAAACATACATATATGTATACAAATTTGTAGTCAATAAATTGTTATGATGAGTACTTGCTAAACATTTTATTTATTCTTGACACAAATAATTTTATGAAGCTACAACTGTTGACTTCCCTAATTCGCGATTTATGGTTTAGTGTTTTAGGAACTATGTTATGGTTAAATGTTTTAGGAATTATGGTTAAATGTTTTAGGAAAAGGTAGGTGTATTTAGAGCCCAAGTCTATCGCCCATCGATCGTCTTAAGGAGGATATTGCTGCAAATTCCTCTGCAGATTGGCGTCCATAAGAGAATTCAACTGAAGAACCTTATCGATACGATTTACAAAATATGTTTTCCGTAATAAAAACTGTTACAAAAACTTGAGTAGAAGTCCCCCAAAGTCTACTCATTTTCGTTCGACACGTGTTTTTTTTTTCATTACAAAGTACATAGAGAGAGAGACCTCTGTTATTCCAATTATCTATCGAGCCCAAAGTCTGTTTGCTAGAGCTATTTCTGCTTGGTCGCCATACTAATGTTATTGTTAGTATTAACGATAAATATAAAACGCACCTCACTACCTAAAAGATTTTTAGTTGAGGGATGGGTAACAGGGATTGAAAAAATTCAATTTTTTTTAAATCGCAAAAATTCAACAAAATTGTGACTGCTATAACCCAGCGAGTTTACGAATTTATATGCATAAGTTTCATTAATAAGTATCAGAGTATCAGATCTCAAGTAAAAATTTGTAGAATTTTTACGATTAAAAAAATTTAATTTTTTCAAACTCTGGTAGGGACCCCTAAAAATTTGTTTAAAATTCTTGCGGATGGCCTTATTTTGTACGTAGAATACAAGCGGTACCTCATATAAAATTTAGATGTTGATATTTTAAGGACTACCCCAGTACATTTACATAAATACTTATGTTGGCTTACAAATTATTTAATATGAATTCCTGCTGACTTTGAAGGCATGTAATTGTATGTTTGAAATCTAAAATAATAAAATTAGATTTTTAATTCATAGTATTTTAGAAAGATTTGTATTTACGAGCTCATTTGTAGTAACCAGTAATAAAATATTTATTTATTTATTTATTTTTTTGCTTACAGGACTCCGATCGCTGACGACTGGACATAACTTCTGAATGCACTTCGATCTTTTCTTAATCGAAAAGGTATGCAACTATCTCTAATATACATATAATTATTGATCGAAAATTAAAAATACGGAGGATTAAAGCTGGTGACAGGTAATAAGATCAACGGAAATAAGGTCAATTGACTTTATTTCCCACCCTGGTGCGAAATAAAGTCAATTGACATTATTACCTTTTTAAAAACGAAATAAAATCCATTGACATTATTTCTCTTTCAAACATTAAATTTGCTGAGCTTCGCGGCGGCCCGCGTCAGCGCGCCCGCGTACCCCGCGCGACCGGCGCGCACACCACGTCACGCTACGCCGGGGCCCCGGCCCCCCTTCCTCGTCTTCCGCCGTGCTGTAACGTAGGTAGATTTATTTTGACGTAGAATACGTCTTACCTTAAGGTATGGGGGCTATGTTCAAATGTTGTAGTTGTAATTTTTAGAGCTTCACAAAAACGCTTATTGCACGAGAAC